TGAGGATATATGCAGTAGAACTATAGTAAACGACATAGCCCAACGGTTTAAATGTAGTGTTTAAGCTGTAGTAATTAAGCTGTAGTGGCAATGCGCCGGCACTACTTGAAAAAACTGACAACCGATGGGTAAGAAAGATACTCGTCGAGTGGCAGCCTAGTATCAGTGAGCGAAGTGTAGGGCGGCCCCCCAATAAGTAGTCATCGCCAAGTAAGTGTCGACGTGGTAAAAGATGCAGGAAGTGGTATTTCTTGGAGGCTTACGGTCAGCAGTGGATTTGTGATAGATAAATCCTGAGGAAACCCGGGGACATCTACTTGTGGCGCTACACTCACTACGCTTATGCTACCCATGGCAATGGCGAGTCTCGCGCACCGCATATTGTTTATTATTAATCAGCAAATGATTTTAGTCTTTTACGATTTCTAAACCCAAAAGGGAACTGTTTATCTATGCCATCTCCAGTTCAAAAGTTAAGCCACAGTACTGGGACCATTTGCGCCAAGTCTTCGGGGCGCTGCTCAACTCGATGGACCTTGTATCTCTCAGCAAATGAATATTGTTTTAATGTACACAGCTATTAATGGTACACAGTATAATGCACACTATATACTTTTTGAAAACAGTAGCGGAGAACTATAATTCTCCGATTTTGAAAAAGTTTGTCCACACATTAATGTTTACTAACACTAGTTTATAAGTCAATTGTTACTAACACTACTATGGATTAATTTTGGTCCGAAATAAAGATTATTATTATTATTATTTTTTTTCTTTTCTCTTTTTTTCCTCCATGTAGGGTATTATGATGATACGGGCTTTAAGCCAAGTAGTCATCATTTGCTGGTATTATTAATGTATTATCCAGAGCAGTTTCTGGGATTTGTAAAAATTTTCGCACTAAGCGACATGTATTTAAAATAACTGCTTTTTGCATTTTAATATATAAATTTGAGGGTAAATCTAATAACTTAAGGCAGTGATGCAAATATTTTGGTATTAATCCTGTAGCTGAGAGTACAATTGGGACGATGAAAACTTTATTTAATTTCCATATTCTTTTTATTTCTTCGCTCAGTTCGTTATATTTACTAATCTTTTCGGCTATTGTTTTTTGAATATTATGCGTATTTGGTACAGCTACGTCAATTAGAAAGGCTATGTTGTTAAGTTTGTCTTGCAAAACTATATCGGGTCGATTGTAATGGATGGTCTTATCAGTAAGTATGGCTCTATCGAAATATAGTTTATGTGAGGTGTTTTCTAACACAGGGTTGGGTTTATATTTGTAGTATGGTTGTAAATTGTTATCGATGAGTTTATGTTTCTGGGCTATCTTTTGGTGTATTATGTTTGCAATTTGATTATGCCTGTGGGTGTAATCTGTTGATGCTAAGTTTTGACATGCTCCTGTGATTTAAGAAAAGAGCCTACTCCTTTTTAAAAGGCCGGCAACGCATCTGCAATTCCCCTGGTGTTGCGGTTGTTCATGGGCGGCGGTAGTCACTTACCATCAGGTGAGCCGCATGCTCGTTTGCCCCCTCTCCAATAAAAAAAAAAAAAAAATATGCTGTATAGTTTCTGGTACTAAATTACATTTTCTGCATTTGTCATTTAAAAGATTTGGTTCTCTAATTATAAATTTTCTATAGTTTTTAGTACTGATGACTTGATCTTGGATGGCATTTATAAAACCTTCTGTTTCGGAATAGAATAGAATAGAATAGAATAGAATAGAATAGAATGATTTTTATTCAATATGAATTATTACATAATACTTATTGAAAGTCATTATTTTATTTACCACTGGTTCGGAAAATACCTCTGTCCTGGGAAGAACCAGCAAGAAACCCAGCGGGACTTTTTTTTTTAAACATAATTTCACTTAACAATAATTTTTTTTATACAATTTTAAATGAATTTTCATAGAACCAGCATGGTGGCGATCACCTTATTCCCAGGGGTTATTTTCATTCATGTATTCCTTGATATTATAATAACCCTTTTTGTATAGTTTTTCTTTAATAAAACTTTTAAACTTGTTTATTGACAAACTTTGAACATGTTCTGGGATTCTGTTGTAAAAGCGTATACATTGCCCCATAAATGAATTACTAAATCGGCAAATAATGTGCCTATTGTTAAATATTTATTTGATGCTGATATATCTATATGTTGTTGGCATAGGTCATTAGCATGTCTACCATGTAATTCCTTTTGTTTCCATTGTTTTATTTTTTCTTTTTCTTGATCAATTTTATTATATGTCTCTTGAGTTTGGTTTGCGGCGAGTCTAAGTGGAGTATAGTTAGTATCATTGTGAACTATGACTTTATGGATATTGCTGCTTGTTGACTTCTCAAGGAAGAAGTTTTTAAGACGCATGATTTGGTTCTCTCTGAGCACGGTTATATCAATAAGACCTCTTCCGCCTTTGTCTCTCTTAATTGTCAATCTTTCAACAGCTGATTTGGGATGCAAGTATCTAAATTTAGTGAGTACTGTGCGAGTTTTTCGTTCCAAATTAATTGTGTCTGTTTTGGACCACCTAATTGTTCCAAAAGAATATGTTAAAATGGGTATAGCAAAGGTGTTAATTGCCTTTATCAGGTTTCTTGCAGTTAGTTGCTTTTTGCAGATGAGGTTGACCCTATTCACGTATTCTTTTGTAATGTTGTCCTTAATTCTTTTATGATCTATTTGGTTGGTTTGTTCTATACCTAAATATTTATAAAATTGTCCAGGTTCGAGACATTCTATAATCTCATTACTTGTAGTATCTATGTTTAGTTCATGTAATTTTCCACGTTTCATGCTCACAGTTCTGCATTTATCAAAGCCAAATTGCATTCCAATATCACTGCTAAATTCTTGCGTAAGATTTATTAAAATTTTCATTTCCTTTTCAGACTTAGCAAATAATTTTAAATCATCCATGTAAATAAGGTTACTAATAGAGGTATTATTATTATTATTATTATATTTTCTAATTCGGTTGGAAAGCAGTTAGTACCAGGGTATGTACCAGGTATCGTTTCACAAAAGACATATCCAATCCCTTAGTAATTTTATTTACAGCACAGAATTTTTGACAACATCTTTTGAAGTCGAACGTTAAATTGCCGATGAATCGTTTGACATTTTTAAACAGTCAAATTATTTGCTTACGCGCGAGTACTATATCGTCGCTAAATTGTACTGTTTAGTACAATTAGCTAAGTTACAATAAAATACGAATTATACAGTAGGCAGCTTTTAGGCGTACGCTTCAGAACGAAAAATTTCTCTCAACGCTGTTATACATAATATATTACATTGCAAATACTCCAAGGAATGTGCCAAATGCGTTGTCACCTTCAAACTAAGATAGAATATCTCGCTGATGTTGTACTAGCTTCCGGCTCACTGTTCGAACCGGAATAATCCTCCAAACATTAATATATTATCAAGGATACGCTACTGTTTCGACAGAAACTGCCAAAAGGTATGTAACTACCCAAATTGACCATATGAATGTGATAATACATACAAAACGTAAATAGATATTAAGGTCGCATTTTATTTAATTACCTATAAACAAACAGAACTCAAAAAATTACAGTTTTTACGATTGTTGGATCAATTAACTACAGTAAAAAATTAGGTTAGTAAATAATCTGATCATTTATAAAATATAAATGTCCTTTAATGATCATCGATCTTGGTAAAATTTCAATGGGATCACTGTTGGCGTAGAACGGTAAATAAAAAATAATATCTATTAACTTTAGGAAATAGCCTGTTCCCCTTCTAAAAGACCAGCCACGCCTCTACAATCGCTCTATTGTTGCGGGTGTTCATAGCGGCAATAGTCATTTACTATTAGGAGAACCGTGGGTTTAACTGTTCCCCTTTTCTGTAAAAAATAAAATGAAATACACATACAAGCTAATCTTTGAGCTTTTGTCTATTTTACACATTTATATATTACTTATATTATATTATATTTTTAAAACGGTAACAACAACTGTTATTAAAACAAAAATTTATGGCTCTTGTAAGTCCATTTAATAAGTAAATTACTTTTAAATATTAAAATGAAGATCAAAGGTGACTAGTTAATTTGTCGAAGCAGTCATTAGCACATTTAATAACACCATAAGCAGTTATTTCATTTAATCACTAAAACACTCGCTTTCACACAATGTAAAATAATTCACGTAAGTTCATTAAAAATGTCCACTAATTCAGAAGTTTTCAGACAGTCATTAAAACGTTTATTAAAGAAAATGTTCACAAACAGCAGGAGCGTTCGCCTGTTGAACCCGACCTCAAGGAATAGACGTCTTTGCCCTGTAACAAATCAAAATGGCTTGATAAAAGTGATATAGATAGTAAAGTAGATAATCTATAATCCTTATAGAATGGGGATGTCACTGCGGACTGGTTCACGATGTATATATAAATCTATCATAGCTTCTAATTTAGCTTAATATTCAAACGGATCAAATAGAATTTCGGCAACACCATAGCAACTAATCGGCCTGCGTCTTTTATTTGATAGAGAGATTTACGACGATAATTATTGGACCAACTTATTTCCTATTGTTGTATATTACTAATTTGAGTTACCACAATGTTATTACACTACCGTTCAATGTCATATAATATTTTATATACAAGTATTTTTCGATTTTTAAACGGTGTAGTATCCTACACCGTTTAAAAACCACTACCATGGGGTATATCATCCCGTGAGTGACGTAAGACGTGACGGAGATAAACAAATCAGGAGATGGGCAGCAGCGTCTTTTAAAAATTAAAAATAAACTGCGGTTGCCAACGCACATGTCAAGTGTGGCAACTATGGTAAATATCCCCTCTATGAGACAATCTTCGGGGGAGGCCAATTTTCAGCGGCGGGCTCTAATACTTTAAACTGGAACTGGAAGTTTTTTTCATGCATATAACATAAATTACTTACATAATATTTACTTTTTATTTTATGCATCGCTCCTGAATTACCGTTTTATCTTTTCCTTACACCTGTATGAGTAGAGGTATGGTTAATGAATGAAAGGATGTCAGTATATATTTGATTTGGTAGTGAATTTAACTGAAGTGACGACACTGCAACATTATAAACTTTTTGTATCTTAAACATACTGCTTAATAAAAAGCAAAAGGAAGGATGTCAACTTCGGTCATTTATCAACCCCGTATACGACCAACACCGCCCCAACGTCTAACAGTTGTCAACTGGTGGTCGATGAGGCATCGTAGAAGTGTGGTAACGTGCGGACGTAGCGCGCGATCACCACGCTGACGCCGTGCGGTCTACAAAAGTAAACCGCGTGAGCGATGACAGGTTATTGCTATCTATATTTTAGGATAATATCTTTACATACAATATTACATACAAATTAATTACATATAAATTGATTGCTGGTTTCCATAGGAGTCTGTATACAACTTCACCAAATATTATATAAACAGCTAAATGTGTTTTCGTGTTCCTTTTCCATGAATACATAAAATCTACGTATTTTTAGCCTAACTTCAAAAAATTGGGAGGTTCTCAATTCAAGTGTATGTTCTTTTTTGTACGTATGTTTGTTATCTTCTCTATCTTGGACCGATATTAATGATTTTTTCTAATTAAATAGGTTACTTCAAGGATTGTGCCGTATACATTTGTAGAAAAACATCCTCCGCAAAGGGTGAAAATATAGGGAATATGAACTTTTTTTATGTAATGGAATTGATGAAATGAATTAGACAACATAGAAAATTTTGATATCCTTTAATACACTCAAATCAAAATCCCCCCATGAGGCACTCTGTGGGGAAATCTATGTTCAGCAGTGGACTTCTGAAATGAATGGATGAAGTAGAATATAAAGGGTCAAAATATATACTTTTATTAAAAAGTAAGTTATTATGTGGAAATTGTTAGATTCTTTTTAGTTCTTTGAAGCCGAATTTAACTTTTATTTTATTATTATTAATTAAAAGTCTTACATTGTAATATCTGAGTTTATGATCATCTAAGCATGAGACATACAGATGCACCACGGGCGTACGGTTCAACGTCCATACACGACGAGCGATTAACGCAAAGTAAGTGAACTAATGGCGAATTATTAACGATAGGTCCATTTACTGCACTGACTGCTTGGGAGAGAGAGGATATGGTGACAATACGTAGTTGATGAAAAGTCCATAACAAATTAAAACTAAGCACTGGAGACGTGATGGTACGGTTCATGTGGAAGTAGATAAGGGAGTGACGATATCATATTTAAAATGATGTTGATTAAAATAAAACAAAACAAGTTTTAAGTATCATTTTTGCGTTGTGCAATTACACGATGTTTTTCCTGAGATATTTGAGAAATCAAAGTATAGTAATTACTTACGTGGTTTGATTGTGAGATTCCGAGTGCGAGGCAGTCGGTAAGAAGCGAGCAAGGGGTCTCTGCACCAGCAACTGACGAAATGTTTGACGAAATTGACGTGACATTGAACAGTACAGGATGAAGTTTATAGCTCCATTTACAAGTGCCAAAAAGTCCATGATTTCACCAAACAAATTGTAACATCTTTTAAAAAAACATAGTCCCAGCAAACCGCTCATTAATCCGAGAATCCCCTGCGGAAGTTCCGTCACAAGGAATAATAGCAGCACGGCTAATAACATCTTTGTCGTTCTATCTGTTCTTTTATCTGCTTTATGTTGCCTCTTAGCCATCTTCTCTCCTGAAGGACAAGCACTGTAGTTTCTCAAATTCTTTTGATGTTGATTTGCGCTGTACAATGCTTTTATTAACCATAAGCTTATAACCGTTAAAATCGAGCATGGCAACAGCTTAATAAGGACGGAATGAACCCAAAAATTAATCTGATACAGTCTGCCTTGGCTGTCTGAATCGACGTGGTATGCGATGTCAGGGTTGCCGTGTACGTCACTGACGTTCTTTGTATGAATATCAAATACCTGCGAAATAAAGAGTTAAATTGCACCAATACACATTCAATGGTAATTCACATTGTATGAAAAACGAATTTGAATAAACTTTGCTGGCGCTGGTCACAATTACCGTATAGCATATTAATCGACTTGAATTTCGATTTCTATATTTAGACAATTAAAATTTAATTACATTATCATTATCGCCACCAGCCCATAAATTAACTGCTGATTATTTAAAATAATAGTTATTTAGATGTTTATCATTTAGTGTCATGAATTTTATACGTCTAAGGACAACATAGGAAAACATGCTCCTATAGCAAAATAGATTACATTATCATTCCATCTATATTCATTTTGCAGAAACGGCCGTAAATTATAGTGTCTTGAGATTCTTTTTTACAGGTTACATTTTCACTACAATATGTGACTACAACAGATCAGTAAGCTGAAGTGGCAATGGGCCGGGCATATAGCTCTAAATACCGAAGAAAGGGAAGAAAGGTTATCGAGAGGCAGCCACATAGGTACTACTAGTAAGCAGTGTAGTGTGTGCAAGTACAAGTGTAGTGTGGCAGGACCGTGCTTTGTGGTGGCCTGTAATAATAATAAAATGTGTCTACAATATTTTCAAACATAGCATAGTCATTGCTACATAATATGTTCCGAAAATGTATATTTCAGCGACACATCTGAAACCGTAAAGCACACAATGCTTGTTTCCTAGATGTCTACAGTTAGGTTTCTAGTTGGTTAATTTTTAAAAATAAATATATTAACTTTAGCCATATATTTCTGAAAACGTAATGTATGTACATAAAAACTAGTGACCGACCGAAGGTTCGGTTTCCTTTTCAAGAATGCGCTAGATAGCATGCATTTTTTGGAAGATTTGCACACTCTCACCATGCTACACAGTCGATTTGGTGAGCGCAGAGTTGATATGCTTATGTAGCTCCTATCACTGTTTAGAAAGCTTGGTATCAGTGTTTCTGGGTGAACTTTTCGCTATCGCTCGGTAACCAGAGTCTCATATCGTGTCAATCACCTCGGTGTCAGTTACAAAGATTTTCCTCTGAGACTAGCGTTTTCCAATTAGTAGTATACGTAATGCTAAAAAATATGCAAGCGGGATTTAGAAAGGGAATGGGATGTACGGATCAGGTCTTTTCCATGCTCATGATCGCCGAGAAGTTTTTGGCGAAAAACCAAAAAGTTTTTTGTGCGTTCATGGACTTGGAGAAGGCTTATGACAGAGTGGACAGGGATGTGTTATGGCAAACACTGAACTCATTTGGGTTGAGCGCTGGTCTGATACAGGCATTGAAGTCTCTATATAGGGACTCTAGTGCTTGTGTCAGGATCAACGGGGCCTACTCGGACTGGTTTGACATCCATAAAGGTGTCAGACAGGGCTGTGTGGCTTCCCCGTCCCCTATTTATGGACAGTTGTTTGGAAAATTTGAAAGTAGAAGAATGCGGGTTAAGAATGGGTGAGTTAACCGTCAAATGCCTTTTGTACGCCGATGATCAAGTCATACTTGCGTCGTCGGCAGCCGAGTTGCAAATGATGGTTACATTAATGAACATGATATTAAAAGAAAAGGGAATGAAAGTGAACGCAAGTAAGACGAAAGTTATGGTTTTTGAAAGAGAAGAAAGTAAAACGATATGTGAAATAAGAATAGAAGGGGAGTTGGTAGAGCAAGTAGATGAGTTTGTATATTTGGGATGTGTGTTTAGCAGGGATGGTAGATATGATAAGGATATAGAACGACGAGTGAATGCAGGAAATAGAGTGAATGGGGCTCTACACTCTATTGTGAAAAGTCAAAATGTGTCCAAAAAGGCACGTATGGCAATTCACAATGCTGTGTTAGTACCTACTTTAATGTATGGTAGTGAAAGTTGGGTGTGGCAGAAGAAGCATGAGAGTAGAATAAATGCTGTAGAAATGCGGCCATTAAGGAGTATGTTAGGGATGAAGCTGAATGACAGAGTGAGAAATTGTTTAATAAGAGAAGAGTGTGGTTTGCAAGATGATGTTGTGACCAGGATTAAGAAAGGAATGCTTCGGTGGTTTGGCCATGTAGAAAGAATGAATGAGAAAAGAGTGACAAAGCAAATTTATGTTGCAGAGGTGAACGGCATAGTCGGGAAGGGTCGCCCTAGGCGAAAGTTTATCGACCAAATTGGCGATAAATTAAAAATGGGCCAAAAGAGTACCTTTAACCGACGAGCGTGTATGCGTAGATATATGGATGTGGGGGAAGCGAGAGAGGTGTGTCAGGATCGTGCCAAATGGAAGTCCATAATCTCTGCCTACCCCTCTGGGTGGCAGGCGTGAGTGTTTATGTATATGTTATGTATATGTAGTATACGTACTATCAGCGGTATGTGAGTACGTGCCAAATTTTTCAGTTTGACACACATTTTAACAGTGGTAGAGCCACGCGGCAGCTTTTGCTGTCGCACGGATGGGCCGGCTCGAACCGGGATGGTACCACGACCTCACAGAAAACCAGCGTGAAGTAGAGGTTTACCTCTGCGTTTCGCTTGGTGAGTGCAGGTGGCCGGAGGCCCTTTTTACTGGAGATGAGGCATTCCATCTTAGTCCTCACGGGTGACAACGCATCTACATTTTGATTTGTAATAGAGGATAGATGTAGATGTCTATGGGCCACAGCAACCACTTACCATCAGGTGGACTGTGTGCTCGTTTGTCACCCTTAACCTATAAAAAAAAATTTAGTCTCATTGAATTTAAATAACCGATGTGATTTTCGTGATTAATAAAATTGATGTGTAGCAACTAATTGACCTAAACTTAATTTTATATTATATTTATTATTTTTCCTATAAGAGGTACACGAATTTTAGTTCTTTCTTGAAATTATACGCAGGAAAATTAATTGGGAAATACTGATATAAACGAATAAAATGTACAAATAGGCACAGAAACCTAATTGTGCATACACTTGATTGCTTTCTTTGCCTATATTGTCATTTCAATTATTATCTCTCGGCTGATTCACATCCTTTATTTGATACAAAATGTGAAAATCGTGAAAATAATATAAAACGAAAATGAATGTATGAAATAAATTTAACTTGTCTTTCATTGCACTTACCATAAAAGTGGGTATACAAAGTATTGGTGGAAGAAGAAAGCTCGTCAGGATGGCAATACTACATCTACGTTCTGTGCACAAAATATGACTCCTGTCTGAATATCTGTAAAAAGTACATCATCAGGATTAGCCAAGGTAACATTCTACGATCGTTAATGCTATAGAAAACTATAAAAATAAATGAAAATATGTACATCAATATTACCGTTACAGCTTATTAAAGTCCACTGCTGAACATAGGTCTCCCATAGATTGCCTTATAGTGGGGATGTTTGCCACAGTTGCCACGCTTGGCAAGCGGGTTGGCAACCGCAGTTTTTTATTTTTAGACTTTATTAGAAAGACGCTGCTGCCCGTCTCCTCGACTGTACGACAACTGCTCTATTTACCTCTGACACCTCTTACGACACCCACAGGATGATATGGGATTGTGGATATTCTTACACCGGCACTACACTGTACATGTATACCAACGTAATAAAAGTAAATCAACGCTGTCATGTATTTGTTACGTGACTTAAGGTTCAGATTTGTTATTCCTATTTTATTTTTATAGTTTTCTATAGCGTTAACTATCGTAGAAAGTCATCTTATCTATTTTAAACTTGACATAACACAAAATTTTAATAATTGTACGGACGTTTATTAATTGGTCGGTACAGCAGCGATGCACAACTAGTATGACCTTATCAACCTATTATCTATTAATGAAAGTGGTTATTTTGAAATTAAAATCAAATCAAATCACTACCGCGTTGTGTTGATTGAACAATTCTTTGCGCCCGGCATCGACTCGGTATATCCAGTGAACGTTACATCACTCTCGTGCCAAACAATAAAAAAAGGTTCAAACGATTCAATTCTTTAGGGTTTACGCATATGATACCTCTTTGAAAAAAATAATCACGAGTTAAAGAAAGGGTTTTCATTAAAGTATAATGATTTTCGCCAGGAACTTTTTATTTATATCCCACACAAAGCTTAATCTATATGTCTAATTTATTACCGAGCACAGAACTAATTAATATTCAAAATTTAATGTAATGCAAACAACGAACACTAAACTCAGAAACTCCTTTGTATGAAATATATGGCTGGGCTTCTGGATCACCACAGTTGCTTTTCTTTGGTATATTGACTTTATAAAATTTAAGATTATTTAATTTAATATGCTACTTCTTCTTCTTCTTCTTCTTCTACCTAGCGTTTATCCCGGTTGCTCATCCCGCCCAGCGCGGGAGAACCCAGGGTCCGCTTTCCGACACTTCCTCCTCCACTTTGCCCGGTCTTCGGCGTCCCTCACAACTAGCCCATTGGCGCGCATGTCATCCTGCACGACATCAAGCCAGCGTTTCTTGGGCCGTCCTCTACTCCTGGCACCAGGTAAGGTCATGTCCAGGCATTTGTTTCCCACGTAGCTTGCTGGTCGTCGTAAGACGTGGCCGTACCAGCGGAGGCGACTTTCCTGCAGCTTGTCAGCAATGTCACGGACATGGAGGCTGCCGCGGATGTATGTATTCCGTACACGGTCTTTCCGTGTGACGCCACACATCCACCGCAGCATGTTCATCTCCGTGACATGCAACAACTGCCGGTGTCGCTCCAGCACCGGCCACGCCTCACTGCCGTACGTAAGGACAGGCCTTATGATGGTCTTATAGACCTGTCCCTTCAGCTTGACCGGCATTTTGGGGTCACAAATGACACCCGTCACCTCGCGCCATTTCGCCCAAGCCGCTGATATACGGGCCTTGATGTCGCGATCGATGTCACCGGACGCATCAAGCACAGATCCGAGGTACCTGAAGTTGTCCGTGCGCTCGACGGTGTCGTCGCCTATACGGAGAGACGTCAGATCTGTGCTGTTGCAGGCCATATACTCCGTCTTCGCCACGTTTAGCTTCAGCCCGCCGTTCTCAAGCGCCTCCCTCCATGCGTGCACGCGTCTGGTGAGCCGTCCTTTGTCCTCATCTACCAGTGCGATATCATCAGCGTACATAAGCAGCCAAGGCTGCGGTAGTTTCTGTACGCTGGCTGACAGTTCGTCTAATATCACACTGAAGAGATAGGGGCTTAAGACGGAGCCCTGATGCACGCCTATGGTTATGGGGAAGGGGGTGGTATCACCAACAGCGGTCCTGACTATTGAATCGGAGTTGCGGTACATGTCACGTACGATTTCCACGTAGGTCTCTGGTACCAACTTCGACCGCAACGCCCACCAGATCATCTCCCTAGGAACACAGTCAAAGGCCTTCTGCAGGTCTAGGAATAAAAAATGCAGAGGCATATTCTTTTCCCTGTGCTTCTCCATGAGGATCCTTAGGGCGAATATAGGGTCCATGGTACCGCGTCCTGGTTGGAAACCGTACTGGAAGTCCGACACTGTACACTCCTGTCGGATCCTGGCGTCAATAATGCGCTCGAAGAGCTTCATGGTGTGTGACATCACCTTTATACCGCGGTAATTACCGCAATCCTGAACGGACCCTTTACCCTTGTGGACCGGCGTTATTATACTAAGCCGCCACTGATCGGGCATTATTCGGTCGCTCAGGATTCTATTATAAAGGTTAGTAAGAACGCACACACCACGAGCCCCCAGCGCTTTCCACGCTTCAATTGGCACCTCGTCCGGTCAGACAGCTTTCCGATTCTCCATGTGACGAAGAGATGCGAGGACCTCGTCAGGTGTAATTGGTGGCACGAGTCCATGGTTCGGGAGTTGTTCGGGAGGGTGCACTTCCCGGTGCTGAGTATTCAGCAAAACGTGGAAATAAGAGCGCCATCTCTCCTTCACCGCACGATCATCGTACAGGAGCTCGCCATTAGGGCCGTTGACGCTGCAGCAGCGAGTAATATCTTGCGCTGCTTTGGCCCTAGAGCGCGCCAGTTTATATATGAGCTTGTGCCCCTCAGGAGTGTCCAACTTAGCATATAATGGTTGCAAGTGGTCACGCCTGGCTCTGGCTACAGCTTTCTTGGCAGCTCTTTTCGCTGTCTTGTAAGATGCGCGATCTTCAGGAGATTTGGTCACTTGCCACGTCTTGAAGAGCGCTTTCTTTTCCCGTAATGAACCCTGGACTGTGGCATCCCACCACCAGGTCTCCTTGTCGATTTTGCGGCCCCCTTTCGCCACGCCGAGAACTTGCTTTGCCGTCTTTGTGATTGCTGTCTGAATGGTTTTCCAGCACTCTTGGACGGACTTGCCTGCTGTGTCGAGACTAATATCCCCAGCGGCAGAGTCAAACTCTGAGTATCTGGTTTGATCCAGCAGCCACCACTTGATTTGACGGCGGCAACGTTCGGCGTGTCTGCGACGGGGTTTTACGCAGAGGTCCATGACAAGAAGTCGGTGTTGGGCAGTGAGACACTCACCGGGTATGACCTTACAGTTGGCCACGCGACTGATATGACTTCTCCTGGTCAGTAGATAGTCGATCTGAGTGGCGTTCCGACCGCTCCTGTAGGTAATCAGGTGCTCGGTTTTCTTTTTGAAGAACGTGTTCACCACGGCCAGGTCAGCTGCAGCGCAGGTTCTGAGAATGGTTTCCCCCTCTGCGTTTCTTCTGCCGTAACCATAGCCGCCGTGGACACGTTCATACTCTCCCTGCACCTCGCCCACATGACCATTCAGGTCGCCACCCAAAACGACATCGTGGTACAACGGTATGCCGCGTAGTACATCTCCGAGACGATCCCAAAACAGCGTTTTATCCGCGTCGCTGCAGCCGACCTGTGGGGCGTAGGCACTTATTAAGTGGGTCACGACCCCCTCAATAAGCAACCTTACTACCATAAGTCGGTCGCATATGCGTCTAACTTCCAAGACGCTATCGTGGAAACGCTCGGCGAGCACCACTGCCACACCGTTCTCTCCACCAGAGGAGCCTGTATAGATCAGCTTGTAGCCGTGCCCAATATTCCGGCTCCTGTTGGCCTTCCACCGTGTCTCCTGCAGGAATGCCACTGCCACTTTACGCCTGGCAAGTATGGCCGCAAGTTCTGCGGAGCGTCCCGTAAGCGTGCCAATGTTCCAGTTTGCAAAGCGAATCTTCGTAGTTGGTGCTAACGTCTTTAGCCGGGCTCGCACGGGGCCCGGTAGCCCTCGCATACTTGTCGCAGGGTTAAGGCGATCCCCATGCGCGTCGTTATGCGGCGACGCCCTAGCCCTAAACGTATTTATCTTTCTTTTAACGTCCATTTTTGAGTGGCTTAGTGCCAATTACCAGGGCGACTGCCGTCTGACCCCCGAACCCCTAGGACGAATCCCAGAGGAGTGGCATCGCCAGAGCCCTTTCCGTTGTCCAGCAGGTGCGCCACGTGCAGGCGGGGTTGGCTTGGGCTCCAAGATCTTAGCGGAGCCCCTTACACCCCACATTTACATTTAATATGCTACTTATTAGCTAATATTCTTATTACTTACTTTATAGCTATGTATCTCCATATGGCTAGTGAAAGCGTAAGACAAATCGACGCCGTATGTAATATTTGAGCGAAGTGCATATGGAATAATAAATACACCGCCCAAGAGTATGGAAAGTCTAATGTTTCTGGCAGGACCTAAAATGACAATTGAATACATTTTGAAACGTTTTATAAACGATACAGTAAACATCAAATATAATATTATGATTATAATGAAAATAAATTGCATCCGTTACCGCTACAACCATATTGTTTACCCCGCGACCGGTGATGTGTGACTTTAAAGTTTTGTTGTTATTGCTTTATAATCAAAAGCAACCTCATAGATATCGTCGAACGTGAATAGCCGACCTAGATCGACTACTGAATGGTTCTTTCTTTAATTAAGCTTACTTTTTTTAATATAATTAGGGTGACAAACGAGCACACAGTCCACCTGATGGTAAGTGGTTGCTGTGGTCCATAGACATCTGCATCAATCTTCGTTTGCGAATTAAATTGCAGATGCGTTGTCAGCCTTGAGGACTAAGATAGAATGCCTCTTTTCCAGTAAAATGGATCTCCGGTTCTCTACACTCACCATACGAAACACAGCAGCGTTAAACGGCTATTTTACGCTGGTATTCTGCGAGGGTGTGGTCCTTCCTCGGTCGAGCCGACCCATTTGTGCTACAACTATACTATTAATATAGCTGCAGCATGGCTCTACCACGTAAATTATTTAGCTTACTATTGGAGTGTTATGCTATTTTAAGAATGTATTATAGCGTCAATTGAAAAATTGGTCAATGCGCACTATAATCATCATCAATACAGTCCTTAACAAGCTTCTGCAGAACATGGTCTTCCTTCAAGAAATCCCACAACACGCATTCCCAAGCTTTGCCAACTACATCTATAGATTTTCCACGTACTATCCTGGGAAGGTATTACTCACTCGAATATTAGGTTACGCAGAACCATCACTACTATTAAGTTATTAATTAATCGAGTGATGACCAAATCCAAGATGTAAGTATACCGTACGATGGATGCGTGGTTAGGGGGGGGGGGGGTCCAGTCGCAAATGGTGCGCACCCGAAACCAGTGCGAATCGGGTAGTATTTTTTAGCCGTTCCCTCGGGCATACGGGCCTTTGCCGAGGATGACCGCATACTTCCCTAGCTAATTGTGGGACCAAAATGGATGAAGATTTCTTTTAGCCTCACCAACAACACCCTGCAACACTATTCTCCAAACTGGAACGAGTCGTGAAGTATACGGGCACGTCTGCAGCCGAACCACAATTGAAAATAAACCAGAAAAAAAAGTTCGCTAGGCCTTATAAGCTTAGAGGGGCAGCACGGAAGAAGTACATAAGGCTGAAAGCAGCTGAGATAGGAGCTGACGAGGCTATCTCTCTCTCTCCCAGAAGCCCTGAGACGAGATTCCTCTAACCAAACCTCCCCCGGTTCCGAAGGCAAAAATCGCAGTCGGTCTGAGGAAGAGTCCTGCAAAGACCAACCCAGGAAATCTGTGAAGCTGGTAACGGGGGCGAAGAAACTGAGCTTTAGTGGCGTAGCTGACTTCGTGCGTGTAGGACTTTACATTTTGAATCCTATGAGCGTGGAGCAGATGCGGCTGGTCCAGCACGCACTAACACAGGCTATCGATAAGACGGTCTGTGGGGTACAGTCGGGAATGGGACCGAAATTTTCGGGTTCACCCACAAGCCAGGTTGGATTCTGGTAAAGTGCCTGAATAAGGCATGACAGGACTGAATTTTGGATGAAGTAGGAAAACTGAAAACCTGGCCGGAGGCAGAGCTCTCCATAATACGAGCGAACTGCCTAAGCCTCAGCCTGACCTCACCTATATACCCCACACTACCCCTCAGCTAAGCTAACTTGCCAGAGGAGGCGGCTGTGCTGTTGCAGACCTTCGCATTGACACACTAGGTTATGCTGATGACCTTGTGATCATTCCGTGGCGCTTTTGCCAAAGTGATTTATCATTAATCACACAAAGAGCCCTAAACACCAAAACAACTGGTGAAGGGATGAAGTTTATCAGTTGATGCTGATAAAACTGTTATAATATCCTTTACCAAAAAGAGACGGTTTGACAAATTAGTCACACCAAAACTCAATGGCAAATAAGTATTCACAGAAGACACTTCACTTCACAGAAGTTAAGTACTTGAGCGTAACAATCGATCAAAAACTAACCTGGAATTCTCGCCTTAGCAATTTAAATTTTAAAATTGCTTTAGGTACGTGCAATCGTTTGGTCGGGAACAACTGGGGCTTGCGTCCCAGTATTTTTTTTATTTATTATAAGCCAGTGCTTGACCACAATCCCACCTGGTGGTAAGTGGTGATGTTCGCGCCAAACGCTGTTTTGTTGTATCGACGACAGAGGGCGTGCGGCTCGGTGCCATACCGGTTTGACTTTCGGTCGTGCGTAAAACGCGCGAGCCCAGTGAGTCGTCTGCCAGCTGTGCTTGGGACAGCACGCTGTCATTTTTTGTCGGGAACTCAGAATAATTAGGCGCGGCTTGTAAGTGTACTGTCCAGGATTTGTGACGCGTATTCCTTGCTGTAGAGCTTCCCCGGGACTCATTGGGTTTGACTCGGAATCTGTATAGGTGCATTCGACAATATTATCTAGTGCGGCCTTATTCTAGAAATAACTGTTGCTACGCGAACCGGTAGTGACCTTTGATCCGGACACTCCGTGTTCGTTTTGTGCGCTAACCTTATGACAAACAAGAGTTAGTGGCTTGTAAGTTAGTTAAACGTACGATAGAGTTAATGAACTGTCACCGTGACGAACGAGGAAAGTTACTGTGGACAACGCCGCGGAAGACCTCAATTTGGAGCAGCCTGGAACTCGGCCGCTGCTGGTCGCCTATGCTTGCCAAGGCCCCACGCATTCACACCTCACTGTACACTACTCGCCATCCACTATTACACACACTCACGGCCTGCCCAAGCCTTGGTACGAAGTTAGCTTCGGATAATGGTAAGTACTACGTGTTTCTAGGTTTCTCCCTTATTGTTTAGTGTAACTAGATATTTTCCACTTTGGCCTTAGGAGGCCCTACCTACGTCTGCTCGTCGAAACTCAGCTGAATGGGCCCCTGAAGATTTGACCTTTAAGGGAGCAGCCGTAGGCCGTAACAGGTGATGTAGCCTTATCTTAACAAAAGCCTATTCACTCTTGCCTTGAAGACGCCCAGATTGTATTCGGACGGAAATATTGACGCCGTCAAACTATTCCACTACTTTGTTGTATAGCAGCATACTGAGGCCAATTCTCACCTACGCCTCCACTGTCTGGTTTAACAAGGCCAACCAAAAGACGACTGCGGACAGACCAAATAGTTTAAAAAAGTTTGCCTGCTTAATAGCAACTGGAGCGATGCGATCATCACCTGGAGCGGCGTTAATGCACTTCTATGCCTAATGCCCCTAGATCTTTATTGAGACAAGGAGGCGACGGCTAGTTTGTATAGGATTAACAAAAATTTGTTTAGGTAGTTTGAACTTGCTTTTCTACAGATTGAGATCCATGCTCGACTCAAGGAAACACCGGCTTTATGCATGATCTCAGATATCATGCATAAAGCCGGTGTTTCCTTGAGTTATACTATACACTTTTAATAAAAGTATATAGTTTAACAGTGGTAGAGCCACGCGGCAGCTTTTGCTGTCGCACGGATGGGCCGGCTCGAACCGGGGTGGTACCATGACCTCACAGAATACCAGCGTAAAGTAGAGATTTACCTCTGCGTTTCGCTTGGTGAGTGCAGGTGGCCGGAGGCCCTTTTTAATGGAGGAAATAAAAATGAGGCATTCCATCTTAGTCCTCACGGGTGACAACGCATCTGCATTTTGATTCGCAAACGAGGATAGATGTAGATGTCTATGAGCCGCAGCAACCACTTACCATCAGGTGGACTGTGTGCTCGTTTGTCACCCTTATCCTATAAAAAAAAAATAGTAGAACTACCCTCCAGAGAAGACTGGCTGAATGGCCAGGTCATCTGTGAGGTCGGCAGCCTTATATGGTATACCGATGGATCAAAAATGAGCCTCGGTGTAGGCTTTGGAATTTATGGGGAACGCCCCAAATTCAAACTTAGTATGAATTTGGGTAGATTCACCTCTATCTTCCAGGCAGAAATTTTCGCCATACTTCAGTGTGCGAAAATCAATCAGCAAAAACACTACGTTTACCATATAATCTATAATAATTCTGATAGGCAAGCAGCACTGCTAGTACTGAGATCAAACTTGGTGAACTCGAAGCTAGTTGGGGACTGCGTGAATCGTATAAACGCCCTGGGAGGTAACAACAGGGTCTTTTTAAGATGGGTTCCGGGTCACGTGGGTATTAAATTGCCGACAGTTGTTATTGGTTTATTTAAATAAATAAATAGCTGAACAATGGACAATAAATATTATTTATTAGTTAATAAACAACATTTGGATTTTTTTAAAGAGAAAACCTATAATTTACGGAAATATCAGACTCGCCGTTGTTTCCGAATTTGATATTTCTACCAACTGTATGTATGGTCTATTTATCGCCAAATTAAATGTCATATTTTTGTAGAAACCAAAAAAAATTAAAAATATTTAATGATCACTTATATACTCAAAGAAAAATTACAAACGATATTCAAAACGCTTAATTGTATTGTTAATCCAAGCAATCTAGGTGTCACGGTTTTCCTTTAAAAGAATTTCATCCATTACAGCTTATTAAAGGTCATTGCTGAACATAGGCCTCTTCTTAGATTGTCTCATAAGGGGGATATTTGCCATAGTTGCCATGTTTGGCAGGCGGATTGGCAACCGCTGTTTTTTGTAGTTGTTATTATTAAGACGCTACTGCCAATCTCCTGATTTGATTCTCTACTATCGGGACAATATGGTTCGATACCCACGGGACAACATGGGATAGTAGATCTTCTTACAACTTCCTTATAAGCATTTAGGATTCGTTTAACATTTAACTGTATTATACTTTATATTAAAATAGAACTTTTACCAAATACTTGTAAATTGCAAATGGGACATATTCAAGCATTACAAATACATCTGCAACGGCTAGCCATTTAAGAAGTCTGTTAATAGGGGCAGCGGCCATGTCTTTCCTTGTGAGGACGGCTACATTTATAGAGTTTGCTATAACGCCAATGGTGCAAACCTGTAACAATCAAAATAATATTAGCTATACGTCGAAGCATAGGGAAATGATATTGTAGATTATTAAAGTTATATTAATCTATACATCTATATCTATATACTTATAAATAAATAAAATTATTGAAGTGTCTGTTTGTAATGTCAAAATAACAGCTTTTTACTAAATACATATGAAAGTACATGTTTGTTCCGGCTAATCTCCGAAACGACTGAACCGATTTTCACGGGACTTTTACTGGCAGATAGCTGATGTTAAAAGTAGCCTAAGTTAATCCTGTAACTTAGGCTACTTTTATTTCAGAAAAAGCATTAGGGATCCGTGCAAAAAATTAAAACCCATGAAATCCAATCGTAAGAAGCTACAGCTAGTCTCTATATAAAAATCAATTGTTGTCCGTTAGTCTCGCTAAAACTACAAAAACGACTAGATTGATTTTGACGAATTTTTTTGTATGTATTAGAGTGGATTTTTGGATGGTTTAGATTCACAATTGTAGCCGGTAGGTGGCGCTGTTGTCGAGATCCAGAAATTACCCGTGTGAAGCCGAGCCGGATAGGCAGCATTATATAATAATTAAAAAGATATTGGTTAGGTCATCTTTAGTCATACATAATAGAAATCTACCTGATTAAAGAATTTGCATTACCTGCTTCACCCATACTGGTCAGAAAGGTTGTGTTTGTGAGATTTGGATTCAGCATTATACTCCACAGTTGAAAAATAGAGTGAGATTATACTTTTATTTATATATTTATTATAGTATAGTGTATCGCTCAAAAGTTATTTCTAACACGCTGCTATCCTTCATGCCCCACCAATCGTTTTCCAGTTAGGCCTTAGGCAAGACGCATAGCATATCGACGCATTTTTCATACAAATTGAGAGCTTTGTTACAATATCCCCTGAACAGTAAATAACATCCATCTCGGCTATGTGTCAAATATGATAATCTGTGACAGTCATCCATCGCGGCGGTCAATTCCCGCCATTATCCGCCATTTTTTTAAATTACTAAAAGCTACTATCATATTTCCCTTTTAGCACTAATGTTATAATAATATATAAATTCAGATAAGAAGAACATTTTTATTATATTTTATTGTATAAAACATAACTTTATACCCATATTATATTTAATAGAAAACACGAATTAATGTGACAGTAGTCGACATTTTTTCCATGGAAATTTCGACCAGATGGAAGTTAGCGTAGAACATTCTTTTTATTAACTAAACTGTAAGCCAATTGATTGCACCTTAAATGCTCCAGCAGAATCTGAAATTGCTCCACCTCTATTGTTATTAGTTAATTTAAAATTAATTTAAAAAAAACTAAGTATCGAAAATTTAATTTTGCTATAAAATATAAAACATCTACTTTTTAAAATTAAACTGTAAGCCAATTGATTGCACCTTAAATGCTCCAGCAGAATCTGAAATTGCTCCACCTCTATTGTTATTAGTTAATTTAAAATTAATTTAAGAAAAACTAAGTATCGAAAATTTAATTTTGCTATAAAATATAAAATATCTACTTTTTAAAATTAAACTGTATGCCAATTAATTGCTCCTTAAATGCTCCAGCAGAATCCGAAATTGCTCCACCTCTATAGTTATTAGTTATTTTATAACTAATTTAAAAAAAATCAATCAATTTTTGTTCGATAAAATGACTTTAACTAAAGAATATTACTACATTCTATTGATGATGTAGTATTACTCAAATAGTATCACTCTATCTCAAAATTAATTATAAATTAACTAATAGCAATAGACAGAAAAATTACGGATTCTACTGGAGCATTTAAGGAGCAATTAATTGACATACAGTTTAATTTTATAAAGTATATATTATATAGCAAAATTAAATTTTCGACAATTAATTTTTTTTAAATTAATTATAAATTAACTAATAGCAATAGAGGTGGAGCCATTTCGCATTCTACTGGAGCATTTAAGGACCAATTAATTGGCACACAGTTTAATTTTAAAAAGTAGATATTTTATGTTTTATAACAAAATTAAATTTTCGATACTTAATTTTTTTAAGTTAATTGTAAATTAACTAATAATAATAGATTTGGAGCAATTTCGGATTCTGCTGGAGCATTTAAAGAGCAATTAATTGGCATACAGTTTAATTTTAAAAAGTAGATATTTTATATTTTATAGCAAGGACTCGGAACCAAGTCCGGAGAATATGGTACCCATATTTCATCTACGGTTACAATATGAGCGCAAAAAGAATTTGGATCTTTTTCAATTATTGTTTCGCTTTCTTTTGGGCGTCTGTTAACATTCGAGGAAACCAGCGCGCGGGCGGTTTTTTGAATTTTAATGTCCGAATTAAAATAAATTTGATCGTCCCAAACGAAAGTTCTAGAATCTCAGCTAAATAACGGATGGTTACACGTCAATCTACCTTAACAATTTCTTCAATTTTTTTAACGTTATCGTCATTGCAAATGTCATTCAAGTAGGAAGATTAGAAAAAGAAATGGATAAATATAGGTTTTAATTTAGTTTTTTTCTGGCCTTGGCTACTAACGAATTTAAGATTCGAAAAAAGTTGAACGCATTTCTATAACTCATTGATAAATGCCCTATTCCGAAAACTTATTGATCAACCTAGTACTGTATAATATTATATATACAGGCCTCTACATCTACGATAATTTAGTCTACATCTTGTCGATTTTAATTACGCTCATGGCTATTGAACGAGAGCGATATCGATGGCATTTCCGACACTTGAATTCTGTATAAGGTAATATAATTTATCATAATCTACTTGATTTTATTGGGCGGTGTTTCTCAAATGATGGTATGTGACTACGGTCACCTAGCAACCCCCCTTTTGTAACCTTAGAGGAAATGCAGGTGTGTTGCCTGGCAACTGACTGAGCGGAAATATAGGTATTTTATAAAAATATTGAGCCATATTTTATAAAAATGTAGAGAAGGTATTCTTTCATCATCATTATCCGTCCCCAGCTCCATTCTAATGGAATTGCTAAAATCACAAGGACCCTTTTCAGCCATGTATGAGGCACCGAGTCGAATGCCTTTTTGTAGTCTATCGAGGCGGCGGAGAGGTTCCGACGGTTGCGTTTAACAACCTTGCCAATGACCGCGTCAATGAGGAGTGGTTCCTTGGTTCCACGACCACCGCCCCGACATCCATTTTGAGCGCGCGACATCATCTGATTTGAGTTCAGGTGACGAGTGATAATCGCGCTCAAAATGGATGTTAGTGTCTTGTATATCATGGGTAGACACGTGATATTTAGTCGGGTCTGTGGTATCCCGGTCTTTAGGAACCAAATGTGTGATCCCAGTAGTGAAGAGGCTCGGGAGCGACTTTTGGTCGAGAGCCTCTTGAAATTGCCGGGCGGGCACAGCGTGACACACCACGAACCCCTTCAGCCAGTAGTGATGCAGTCCGTCAAGTCTCGGACTGTTCCAGTTCGGGGCATTACGGACTGCCTCAGCTACGTCATCCGACGTTATGATGACGGGGTTCATGGCTGTAACATTCGCAAACTGACTCACCACAACTTCCATCCAAGGGCCCTCGGTGTGGTTTACGGGCCCTGACCACAGGCTGCGCCAGAATGCGACAGTGTCGGCCCGATTCGGTGCTTGCCCCGTTCCACGTACCATTGGTCGCTCCAATGATTTATAGAGCCTCTTCTGATCACTCTGGAAGGGACGATTCTGGTTGAACCGTATCGAACTCTCGGTATATCGCCGAATCCGCTTTCCCCGAGCAGCGATTCTCTGCTTTAGGTCGTCTATGCGCTCCGTCAGTATTTGCGTAATATCCGGCTGGAACAAACTTATATTTGCCCCATCAAACACCATCCTGGCGGTGCGCACAATTCTCGGTCTATTTCTTGCCTTTGCGATACGGTCCTCAATTCTTTTTCTCCAGGCTGGGATGGCGCTACTTTGTCTAGTAGCGCGCCCAGCCTTGGGAAGTTTGGCGCCAATAATTCGGCAAACTGTCAGTGCGGCACCAAAAAGAATTGAGTCCGTCTCGCAAAGGTCCCGGCTGGATTACAAATAGGTCATCAGCATTGGGTTGAGAGCCCTCACGACAGCCCGATTCCGCTTGCTTAGGAGTATGCGGGGAAGTCGCGGTCAATTTTTGAGAGGCGTACTGCGCGTTTATTATTATAATTATTAATATAAGTTCAATTAGTAGTAACAACAACTAAATTAGTAGTAACTTTTAAATATATTATGAGTAAATTGGTTTATTTTGGATTCCTCCCCTGAACATCTCGTAATTTGTTTGTTAGAAGTTTTTTTTTGTCACAGGAAAATAAAAGATACCGCTTATAAAGAATATAATAAGGAATATGGCGGCTTTTTTGTATTAACACAGGCATAGCCGCAGGTAAAAAAACGAATGAGAATAAAAATAAAACATGTAACATGTAACAAAGTAATATTAACTTAAATTTTGATATATTTAGATGATAGGTATTTTAATTTGTGCTGTGGTGTTGCACCATTGCCGTGCAAGCTTACTCACTTAGCAATGATCGCGGCTATTTTAAAACGTGGTAGAGCCATGTTGCCATATTAGTAGTATAGTTGTAGCATGAATGGGTCAGTTCGACCGGGGAAGGACTATAATAATAATAATAATAAAGCCTCTTTATTCCTTAAAAGAAATTAATTTAATTAAATTAACTTTTAGGTGTCTAGCCTAATGGCAGGGCGCCAACCGCGAACTCAAAAGGTCGTGGTTTCGAATCCACTATTGACTATTGTCGTGAGCCACTTTCAACACAAGCATTTTAAGCTTACCAGTGGTTAAAGGGAAGGGAAGGAAGCATTACTAGTATTTAAAAAAATTACAAAAAAAAGAACAATTATATGTACGCTTAGAAAATAAAAAAATATATACATTTCAATTAAGGACCCCTCTTTGGGAAAAGGCCTCCTCCATCTTTTCCCACTCTTTTCCGTTCTGAGCTATTGTTAGCCAAT